AAAACCATTTAAAGTGACAACATCATGAAGCTGGTTAAGATTCTGCAGAACAAGTCAGCCTCCTTTCAGGAAATATGAAACAAATGCACGTTTACGTAAAAGGGTTCGTTTTTAAACCCTGAAAGAGAAAGTATTCCTAAATCTTAAATGATGACCCCTTATGAATATTAAAGGGTTTGAATTTATGAATTAATGAGATATATTTTCATGTATTGAAACTTTACATTTATATAATGTCTTTATACTACATACTGACACAGGTGATCATAAATACAATAACCATACAGTATGAACTTCAGTTTCTTGTAAAGCATTTAAAGTCTTGTAAAGTTAAAAGTTGTGATGGACTCAAAGCATTTAAAGGTCTGTTGTCTTCTCCTCACAGATGTTCACGGATGGCAGCAGAACATCTTTTTGTGTTTCAGTGTAAAAAAGTGTTTATGTGCTAAAGAAATAAATATTAAAAATAACACATAATGCAGTTTGTTTTTCTCAGAGGTTATTAAAGCAGTGATGAGTGAGCCTGTTGTTTTACCCACACTGAGGTCACACAGGAAGCTGTGTTAGTGTGGTGCTGATTTCTGATGCTGCAGATATTTGAAGCTTTAAACTGCACTCAGAGGTGACGTGAACGGGTTTCCTGACAGTTTCTGAGCTCTGACAGTGAAACAGAAGCATGGAGCTCAACCTAAGGACCTTCATCTTCTTCATTGGTAACTATTTTGTGAACATGACTGATGTTATCTGCTCACAGAAAATAAAAGGTGAGCTTCAGTGTGGGTGCGGTTTTAGAGCCTCAGCGAATAAACGTGAGCAGAGCTCTTACTGAGGGAATCGTGTTGGTGCTTCATCGAGGACAGACACAGAAATGGACTTAAAAAAAATTTATGTGATGGGTTTTCGATGATATTAAGTTATATGCTTGTGATTAGTTCCAGGAAAAAGATAATTGATTAGATATGAGGTAGTGCGGTTCAGCCTTCAGCTAAACTTACTCGTGTTTATTGCTGAAGTGAAACAATATGGTGGACGGGTTGAGTTTCATACCTGTACCCTCACACAACCTACGTAGCAGAGGAGTGGTGTCTTCATGAACACACGGAGGGCTGACGCTAAATAATGTTCTGTGTTCTGCTGTGTGTCCCACACAGACGTCAGGGTTATACAGAACATTAGTTTATGATTACCATCATTATAAGATATATGGTTTTATCTACATTACATAGATGCAAGAAGGAAATTCTCATATCTGTTAATGTGCATGTTAGCTGAAGCTGAAGCACTCAAGGCCAAAATAATTAAAATTTTTAAAAGAGAAACATGGTGCAAAGTGAGCACAAACCTTCAAAATGAATTAAATAGCTTTATGTGAGAGCATCCAGATAAATTATAATGAAAAACCTTGCACATTGACTAAAAGTGAACGAAAGCTTCAACAATACCAATACTTTGTGTTTGTGGCTGACCTGCACCCAAACGAGCTGCTCACTCTTCGACATCTTTTCAATCCTCTCCTGTTTATCCTCCTGTTTGACTTTCTTTCTCTTACCGAGAGAGCCTGTCTTTATTTCCACCAAAGAGTTTAAGCTCATTGAAATTTAGGAACAACAATCTATAAGCAAGGCTGGTATGTTTGCATTAAGTGACTGCTTGACTGCTTGACACATAATGCTCAGATATGTAACAGAGTTTTGAGGGGATACATGTCTTCTCTCTGCATTTTGGAAATGAATGTGTGGTTTGTGATGGTTTATTTCTCTTAGGGGTTTTGTGTAAAAGATAAGTTAGTGTTTATCTGGTCTGCTCATTGATATTCTGAAATAAAGCTTCAAAGAGAAAGATTTTATTCCAAATTAAAAAAAAACAGTCAGAGGATTTAAATGCTTCCTGGAACAGTATCTCTTCTACAGTTGTTTTACAGTTTTGGTGGGCATTGGTGTTGACCTCAGCTCTGTCTGAAATGAGCCATGTTACTTCCTCTTCTTTTAAGATTACGTGTTCATTTTCTGGTTAGTTGCTCCTTGTAAGCAGAAGCTTTGTGTGCCTGAGACGACCACAGTGGATATTCACTCTCTGGAATTTTGAGTTGTTGTATTATTGACTAATTTTAATACAAGGGAAACTGCTGAAGCTTAACAATTAATTTGCTTATGTTTTAAGGAATAAAACATTTTCTGGTTAAAGTATAATAATGCATTTGATGCTGACTTCTTTCTTTTACTTTTTCTTTTATTTGTTCTTTTTTTGTCTGTCCTCTCCGGCAGCGTAGCGATCAGAATTGTTGTCTGAAGGTTAAACAAAATGTCCAAGTGGAGCATTATTGCTTTTGCTATACTAGTCCACTTGATATGCGTACTTTATTAGACTTTTACAAACATTTTTTTATTTTGAGTTATTACAGCCCGAATAGACAATACCGGGAAAAGGAAAGAAGAGAGAAAGAGAAGAAGAGGAATAGAGAGAGAGAGAGAGAAACACTGAAAAAAAACCAAGCAAAAAAAAAACAAAACAGCAGGGAAACCACAGAGACAACCAACATATGCATACGTTGCAGTAAATAATAAATATTAAATGTTACTAAGCAGCACACAGTATAAATGACACAGGACATGTTTAGAGGCAGCAGCCGACCAAGATACTGTGCATTTGTAAGTACCTGTTTAGACAGCTGTGTGAATACTTATGTGCAAATCTGTGTGTGTGCTAATAAGGTTTCTCCAAGTATTTAATGGTAGGTGTGGGAAGCCCCAGCCCTGCTCCCCAGGACATAAAGCAGGCACGGAGGAGACCCAGACCCCAGACTTCCATAGGTCCCCCAGAGCACAAGAGCCCCAGGAGGACCTGGAAGGGGGTCACCAATAGTGCAGACACTACAGGGGGCCCGCAACAACCCCGCAGGCTCTGCAGGCAGCCGGCTATGCCCTAGCAGACTAAACCCCGGGCTGGCTCCTAAAGTCTGCATGCCAAATATCCTAACAAGATACTAACCCCAAGTTGCTCTCTGATGCATCCGTCGGAGTATGAATGTGTGTGAATGTTAGCTAGAAAGCATTTAAAGCATAGAACAAAATGCTTGTGTGAATGTGGCAGGTTGCATAAAGCACTTTGAGTGCTCAGTTAGAGTAGACTTTATGTAAGAATCAGTCCATCTACCAAATCAGCCCGAGGTGGGTGGGGGCACAGGCCACTGGCAGGTAGTGTGGTGGGGGTAAATAGGCCTGACAACAACTACTATAACAAGAGAGAGATTGATCTAATGGGGCAGCAGAG